ATTGAACTTCCTAGTTTTCAAGAAACTGCAGTTTCGCCAATTTATCCTTGGGGACTTCCTTCTGCAAAAATTCTTCTTTCTCTCACCAAATTTATTAAAAACAACACAATGCCTTACATATATAAACAGGAATTTCCCAAACTTCAAGACAGACTAGGTGATTCTGATTTTATCTACACTGACCTGTTGTTGAGCTCGAAGAGCTCCGCAGGCCTGAGAGCATCAATTATATGTAACAAACGTCAACATATTTTTTCTATTTCACCACATTGTAATAATTTTACTGCTGAATTGGTTGCAATACATAAAGGTTTAAACGTTATACAGCCCATTAAACAAAAAATGGTCATATGCACAGATTCTCTATCCGCTCTAATTAGTCTAGTTAATGTTAAACATTCTGTACTCAATAAAGTCCCCAAATAAAAATAATATATCAGTAATTTTTGTCTGGGTCCCTGGACATTGCGGAATAACCGGTAATGAACTGGGTGATTGAGCTGCCAAAAAAGCCATTACTGATGGAATACCTTATCGGGGAGTACCTGTAGAGGATTTTATAACTGTCATCAAACAAAAACTGAAGAAAAAATGGGTAAAGATATGGTCGAATGTAAATGAAAATAAATTGAGGGAGGTTAAGGGTGATGTTTCCTCTTGGACATCCTCAAATAGGAATAACCGCAGAGAGGAAGTAATTCTTATGTGTCTGCGTATAAGTCATACAAGCCGTACCCATGGATACCTGATGGCCAGTGATTCTTCGCCAACATGCCAAACTTGTGGGGCTCCTCTGACAGTGAAACACATTTTGACAGAATGCAGAGCTTATGAAACATTTAGACTCTCTTGTGACTTTACAAACAATCTACACTCCATTTTACAGGACAATACGAATGAGGTTGATTAACTATTTTCTGTTCTTAAATGTTCTAAACTTCAGAATACAATCTAGTTCTCGATGAAAATAAGGAAATAATGACCCTAGTGGTTGAAGCCTTAAAATATATTTTTAAAAAATATCTGATTCAGGTTTTTAGTTAAATAGTAATAAAACACTATTATCATTGTATAATATTAATGTATATTTATAACAAACAAGTTTGAATAAATAATATGCTCTAAATCTCTTCATTAATGAATAAAATTCTTAGATTAGGGAAAGTATCACCTATGCTGTAGGAAACAAAGGTATTTAAATAATGTTAAAGTTTATATAACACATTTCTTTCAGTCATTTTTTCTACATTGAATATGATCAGATTTATTCTCTTTTCTTTATAAATTATTTGTACCCATAAACAAATTATCCCCCCTCCCTTAAAAAATATGTCAGTTTCATTCACCACTCAGTTACTAATTGGGGTGTCAATAATTCATTTATGAATAAATAAAAGCACATTCATCATCATACTCACACGCATATGGATAAACAAAATAGATTAAGACATGATAATAGTACTTTGGCCTATTTTTTCATTTTCTGAGCACAATCAAATGATATATCTTTTCAGAATAAGTACCATCAACATGAAAAGAAGATTTAAACCACTGCTTAGATTTCAAACTCTCTATTTCACTAATATTATTTATAATTTGTATTCCTATTTAATAGAATATATTATGTACAAAAATATATACATTATGACTAAATCTAAACCCCAACTAAATGTTCACTTAGTAGTCTTATAATATCCATTTATATAATACTCATTCACTCACATTTTCAACATTTCATTTATAAAATAAACTATATGAAACACTATGTAAAAAAGTTGATAATTACTTATATAATTTAAATTTTAGAAATTATTTTGCAATCATTCTTTTGAACTAGTTTCTCATTGTCTTCCTTCATTTCATTGGTGTTAATAAAAAATATTACATAACAAGAGATATAACAAAACTTCACTTTATAATATTACACTACTTACAAAAAATTGGGATTTATTATAATTGACCAACAATAATTGTTTTTTTTTTTTTTGTTTTTCAAGGCTAAATTAAGGTATACAAAATTTAGTACTCATGATAAAGTAAATACCATTCAATTATGCCAAGCATTTAAGAAACATATTATCATTACAGAAACAAAAGGAACATATAATTTGTGATTGGAATCAATCCCAATTATTGGTACAATTATTAATTAAATAAAAAAATAAATAACACTAAATAAGAAAAATCTAATAGGATTTTTTTCTTGAAAAAACATGTACAAAAAGTAACAAAACGTAACATAAATAATAACTGCTAAAATATGTCCATAATTACATTTTCAAAGTAAGTTACAACAATATATAATTATATATTACCAATAAACTATACAGAATTAAAAAATTAAAACTTCATCTGCTATAATTAATTACAAACAACAGTGGGTTTGTTTATTTTAAAATTTATAATGAAGCAAAGTTTTGTGTAATAAATTATTTGTTTAAATTAAAGTTTGAGTAGTAAAAATATTTTTCTTTTTTTTTTTGTAACTACTGTCTTGCCATAACAATAATATTGAACAATTTTTCTATGAACATTTTCAAATGTTTAAAAATGATTTATGATGCTCAAATAATGAATTAATAAAATTTGATTCCATAATTTTAAAACCTTACATGTGTATAATAGTTACACAATGAGGGTTACAGCCAATACAATAAATAATTAATCAAGCATGATCGAGGTAGAATAAATATAATAATTAAATGTTATAGTACCCGAGACTTATTTCTTATCTTCTTCTTGAGAGAAAAGAAAAATTGTTACTACAAGTTTTCACTAATATTTTGCCCAAGCTAAAAGGAAGTGTTAATTACCTAAATGATGTAATTTGTTTTGATATTTAAAGCAAGAAAGACAGATAAAACTAAAAAGTTTATTTGAAATTTATTGGCGACTAGTAATAACAAATACATTGGGTATTTAGTAGTATTGGGAAATTCATCGCATAAGTACAAAGCCTACAGACTGTTTGTTACCATAGATGTGGAAATTTTAGTTTTAGTTCTAGAGAACAATCTTGTTTTTATTCACTGAAATTTCATGTGTTAATCTACTTCTAAAATGTGTTGAATTGTTGTTTAACACATCATTTCAACTATGAAATATCAAAAAAATTTCAAAATATCAAACCACCTCATTTTTACAACAATAACTTTGTACATTTTAAAGTTTTTATTATTGGAACAGGCATTAACAGAAAAAATATTTTTAAAAACAAAGCTCTTGCATTAATATCACAGTTTTCCACATTACAAACTCTGGATTGTAGCATGGTGTTATGACAAGTAGTAGAATTAAAATTGATTTACAAAAATTTACTAAATATTAATTTGCAATATATAATGTAGGAAAATTTTATAACAACAATATAACATTTTTTTTTTACAAAAGCTGCAACGGATTGTTTCAAAGTTATTTAATAATTAGATTTGCCAAACCACATAGTAACATCTGCTTCATACTTACACCACAACATAAATTGTTAGAATAAATATTTAATAATATGGATTTAATCAAAACTATTAAACCCCTGACAATTGTTAATAAGAGAAATGAAAAAAACAAAACAAACACTTGTCGAGAAAACATTTTTAAAAAAGAAAAAACTCTGTATTGTTTATTAAAATTAAAAAATAACAATAAAATAAAATTTAACTGAAATAAATTAGTCAATAACTAATAATTCAGCTCCTGGCTCATAATAATTTTTATTCAAACCATATTAATAAGATATTTATTATATATATATATATATATATATATATATATATATATATATATATATATATATATATATATATATATATACATACACATATATTTATTTTTAAAAATGAACAACATTAAGAAAACATTAATTACAGGAAATATGAAATTTTATCTTTAAGATAGTAGTTTTATTTTCTAGGTTTGAGAAATTAAAATACTTTGATCCTTATTTTAATTCTTTTTTTTTTTGTTTGGGGGGAAATTTTGTTGTTCTTTTTTTTTTTTTGTATAATATAAAAATAGCTATTATTTGATCTTATTCTTTCGTACAACAGAATATGTTGCACTAAAAGTTATCCAATAAATTATCTTACGACTAGAAACATCTGAAATAGAAATTGGCTTACAGAGGAACAAACTAAATCAAGAAATTGAATATTATTTGAAGTGTGGTATATCTTAAATGGCTTGAACCATTTGGTCCCTCAATAGATAGATAGTGTATATTTAGTTAAGCTTTAATCTATTCACAATAATGATGAAAAATAATCCCTTTTTTAACTACAACAGGAATATTATTTATCCAACTTTTTGCTAATTTTATCTGTGCTACTTGAAAGTGTTTGACAATTATATTTCTTTAATTTAACAGTATAATTATTTTTTAGTAATATTTAAAAACTATTTCTTAAGCTAAACACATTTATTAAGCAAGGATCATAAAAGGTTAAAAAAAAAGAAAGTCACACATCTATGAAATCATAATAGCCTGAACACAAAATATAATAATAACATAATCACCAATAACTTCAATTTTCATCAATCTAAACATACATTTAACTTGTACTTTATTTACAATATGTTCTTAATTCAATGAAAGTTTATAAAATAACTTACAATATGAATATACTTTTCAGTTAGTAATGAACTGAGGAAGACTGAAACTAAAATAAAAAAAAATATATTTATATATTTACAGATTTATTATACATATAATACCTATATGTACCCCTATAACCATTTGTGCATTAAAAAATTAAGGTAACTTTCATGTGGTAAAAATTAACATATGCATACTTATACAGGCAAGCAATGCAATTTGTTTAATTTACATTTAAATACATGCTTAAAGAGCTAATAATAGGAAAATAAAGCCATGTTAAGACCACACACACACACACACACCTTAACATTCTTCATATTGCCAGCTCTTCAAATGATAACTCAACTACTGATAGCTGACATATGAATATCAGCCTAAACTTTATACAAGAACATTTAGATGTGTTAGATCATGTTGAGTCATTCCTGAGCTCCTTCAAACGACTTATTCCATACTGCACATAGCGTACTAGATCTTTCAAAGAACTATGAAGAGTTAGTGGTCCACAACTTCTGTCCAAATCAATAAAAAAATCTGAAAAAGTCAATAAAAACTTTTATGATATAAAATATACTAAATAGATTTTTTTTAGATTTAATTAATGTGGCAAAATAATGTTCTTCAATTTTTATAAATCATACTGAAAGCAAAAGTATTAAAATCAAAAAGAACAATATCTAGTTTGATTTTATTTCTCAAAAAATTCAAACTTTAGTTATGAATATTAATTATTTTTAGGACAGAAAGGGATAATTACAATTTTTATTGAACAACCCAATATCATGCCAATGTAATAACATTATAACAAGCGTCAGTAGAAGGTGGGGCTGCTTTATATCCGTTTTAGAATCCTTAGAACATGATTATGCAATTTTCAGAGATTTAAATTATATCTATATAAGTTTTTCGACTAAATTTCAGCACCCTCAGCAGTTCCCTTTTAACCAAATTAACTGAAATTCAATATCTTTTTCCAGGCTTAACAATTCCAGTAAAGTTTGGATAAACTTCATCACAAAATCAGGATATACAAAAGGTTTTTATCGTTTTTCCCCTGTTTTTAAAGTATTTATATGAAGTTGGTGATGGAAAGGAAGTTCCTTTTGGGGTCTCATCACTAGCTGCGATTTTGTTTCAAGATGGTGACAAAAAAAATCATTATATCTATGTATTGTAGCAACAAAAAATGTAATAATTTTTATAAAACTTCTCTTTAAGTCTTCCCCTTGAAATCATATAAATGTATGTATAAAACATATTTCCCTGAAAAAGAGTTTGAAAAAAATTAAGATTAATATAAAATTTTATTATGATAAACAACCTCCTTTTGGTTATTCATATCTTATGTTTATACTTCTTATACTTTTGCTGTCAGTATGATTTTTAAAAATTAAAGAACATTATTTTGCAACATTAATTAAATCTAAAAAAAAATTACACATTTTTTGTCAATCAATTATGTGTTTTATGTTAAAAAAAAAAAATGAAATTGGACCATTTGTCCATAAATATGGAATTTTAAATTATGCACACATGTATCCATTGAAATTCGATCTCATTTTTTTTTTTTTTTTTTTTTTATAGCTTAAAACTATAATCCTACCAAAAGATTCCTAATGCTCATTTGAGAATTATTTAATTGTCTAAATAGCTTAATAAAAAATATTTTTAAAATGATCCGATCTTAGTGATCAAATTTTCACCTACATATTAGAAAAATCAATCATTTGTGGGAGTAAACCATATATATCCGATTTATAACTATTTGAAAATAAGAAACCATTGTGTAATAATTTGCAACACTTTAAAATTCTATACTTCAAATTATACATTAAATATGTTGCACTCAAAATTGATATTGTGAAAATATCAAACTCAGCATCATTAAAAAGTTGTCTAATACATGTTCAATAACTCACAATATTTTATAAATAAGTGATTGTGTGTAGAATATTGTTTCATTATTTGAAAATATTATAAAAGAATTAATTAAAAAATATAAATATATTAGGATACAATTTGTTTCTTTTTAATATTTAGCTTTTTTATATTATCAATATAGAGTCAATTTTATTTATTTTCAATAAAATACTTAAAAGTGCTATATGCAACCAACCTAGATAGATATTCAAAGCTATAAATATCAAAATCATTCAAACCTTTATGTTTTCCCTTATGCACAAGAGCATCTGCTTGATCCCAGAGATCATGAGATGCCATGAGAGAATTGAAATGGACATGCTCCTTTTGAAATGCATTATGAACGTGAAGAGGAAGGGCAACAATTTGTCCAGTTGGTGCTACAGGTATATGAGGGGGTACTTGAGGTATGGGGCCACCTCGTAGTTCACCACTGCTATACCCTGAGGATTGAGAACCAACAGATCCTACGCTACCAGCTGGTGAAGGAGTTGGAGACAATGGTGAAGGCGTACCTTGTCCTTGGACAACTGAAGTGCTGCATTGTTCCAGTGTTGTAGGAGTAGCCTGAATAACAATTATTAAACATTATTCATTATATTAAATAAAAAATAATGCATAAATTATGCAAAAAAGGTTCTTAAAAATATTGAGCTAATTGAATTATTAGACAGCCATTTCTCGAAACATTATTTTATGGTTGATTTGCACTATTATTTTACTCTATTTTAAAGTATTAATGTGATGAATTATAAAGTAATTAACATATATTCTTCTATCAAAGCAGATATGGATGATTCTAAAAAAAAAAAAAGATAAATGTTAGTGATACTCAAGTATCCCTTCACATAAATGTCTATTACTGATTTTTTTTTTTTTTTTTTTGCTTTTTGTGATCTCTGAGCACTATTATAAATGTCCTTGTGACAGATTGTAATATTTTTTAATAAATAAGTTTTTAAAAAAGTTTTTTGCTTTTATAACGATATTCTCTTTACTGTTTACAATATCCCTTCAACAAACAATTGCTTTCATCAAAAAAACATTTTTCGGGTCTTAAAATATTTGATTATCATTAATACCACTCAATTACCACACAAAATCAAATTGAGTTGAAATACCTCTTCTTAGAACGCAGGGTATGTTCCTATTATGAAAGAACTAGTATTTTATCTTCAACCATGATACCCCTCCTTCAGAAATTAATTCATAACTATTTTAAATGCAACAGGCAATATCAATCGCCTATTTAAAAGTTTTTCACTCGAAAATGTCTCATTACCGAACTTCTATCAATATTTTCAAGTTGTAAAACTCTAAATGGGAATTTCATGCAACCTGTTTTCTAATTTTGTACTTACAACACTGTTTAATCACAGAAAATTGTTGTTCACTTACAAACAATCACTGTTCAGCTTCGAAGGTAGAAGGAGCGTATTTTTCAAGAGGGTATGTTTATAACTCTCATTGACACCACTCCAACAAATAGGGAAACTGTATTTTGGAACCGAAAAAAGTTATTTCAGTTATAATTTGTGTAGCATATTTAGATTTATGATCCCATGAAGCTATATATATATATATATATATATATATATATATATATATATATATATATATTTTTTTTTTTTTTTAAGATAGTTCACTTGCTCAAAATTTTGACCCAGGAAAATTGAACTTTTTTTGATATTCATCCATATAATCCATTCAAGACTAAAATATATTCATGAAAAACCTAAGTGATAGCACAATTAGAAATTGTTTTTAGGCTTGTAGATTTCTGAAATAGGAACTGCCGCCAAAAGTACATGAAAATTCAAATGATTTCAAGTATTCTCTCGTACAGAATTATGTTTCTCAAAATAAAGAAATTTCTATAACATTATAATATTTTGTTAATTTAGATGATGGTTCAGCAATAGCAGAAATTTTAACTTAAATGGAAATTTTTGCTCAGTCTGAAGACATTGTTGGGGAAGATGAGAAACATAATATGCCGTCGATTACTCCAAAATTAGCAAAGAAATAAATCAACAACCTGCATAATTTTTTAGAGATATTGGATGTTGGTGTTCCGTATTCATAGCTCTAAACATGCTTGAAAAAACTAAAGACAGGATCTATCATCAATCATTACATAGAAGAAAAAAAAAAATGATTTTTTCGAAAAGTAAAATTGTAATATTTGATTGTTCTACCTATATCCTTTGTACATATATAGTAACAAATTTTGATATTTTGTATTTTTTATTTTTACTACCTATTATTGGAAATGTAAATAATTTGTGTTTTATTGTAGTTAGTTAGTGCATACTTTAAAAGACAAAAACTTACAATCTATTCTGTAGGAAAAACTTTCCACATTAAAATTAAAACTAATATAAATATCCTTAACTGATTTTTAATAAATCTGAAGGGGCAATGCTGCTACTTTTCAATAATACATTATCAAAATGTAAACAGTGTGGACATATAAAGTCTTCAAGGATACCATCATGGTTAATTCTCATACCTCTGGTTATATTGAAAAAACATTAAGTATCAAATAAAAATTCAAGAAAACAAAAACACATTTAAGCATATACTTATTTACCTTTTGCATATGATCAGAAACTATTTTTATAACTTCAGTAACTTCTGCTTTCTTCATTTTAAACAGTTTCAGGTGCAGAAGAGATTGACAACGCAAACTGAAAACACGTATAATAGTATTATATAAGAGGTGATTCATTCATATTATTAACCATAATTGAAATTAATTATACTAGTATTTGTATAAAATTAAAAACTATAATACCTAGTAATGATTGTATCTAATGTTATTACATTAAATACTATTGTATGTACTTCTTTTGTCACAAATATATATATATATATATATATATATATATATATATATATATATATATATATTAAAAAGTGATGTATTTATCTAAAATCAATGGTTTGTTATTTTAAGTTCTCAGGATTAAAAATAAGCACTATTAGTAATCGATAAACGATAAATAAAATATTCCATTTTAAAATGAAAATAACAATTCATATTGATCTTGAAATTCAATCAGTCATATGACCATGTTTGACACACATTCTTATTAAGGGACACTTAACAGAATTAAAGCAAGCAAACATGAAACATACAATAAACATTAAATTATAAATTTGATTTATAACATTTCTTTCATTTTAAATAGTTCAATATATTACCTACCTACACGTTTGTTATTAACTATTTGGTAATTATTTACTAGCAAAATTTAATTACAAATAAAAACACAAAAAAAATAAAATGATATCATTCATCATAACTATGGTGTGAAACATTTATTAAGATGAAGTTAGCTTTCATATACAAAATAAATTAAGTATTACAAAATATAGTTACCTCAATACCGCTAATTTGCTGTGGATACTGGATTGTGTTTGGTGACTTCTGAATTTGGAAGCGATGTCCCTACAAATTAAGAATAAAATATGAGTAAGTTAAACAACAAAACAAAAATAAATATAAAATATTAAAGAAAAACATAATAAAATAGGTAAAAAATACTAATTGCCACATAAAATAAAAAACTATAATAGGGTATCTAAACATGCACTGACGATGCTTACATAAAGAAAAAAGAAACCAACATTAACTACAGTAAAAATGTTTTTAGGAAGTGAAGTGAATTTCTTTAAAATGGGAATAAATTGTTTAAATTTAATAAAATTTTCTGAATTAAAATCAGTTAATTGGACCAGTATACATTATTTCCACCATGAAACCTTATTTAAAATTTAAATTAAGCCAGGGAAGGTGCAAAGAGAAAAGAATAGTATTTCAAGTTCCCTGCACACCTTAAAATTTCACCTATAATCAGTTTTAAAAAATAAAACATTTTATCCCACTATGTTACGGCATTTACTATTTTCAATATTATTTTATTTTAATGAAAAGGTTTCTATTAAAATACTTTTGGTTGTTGATATGTGTTAAATCTTTATTGTTTACAATTATACACATTTACACTCATTATATAAACAAAAATAAACACCACATCTTTGATTGAAGCAACGTAAAATGATATGTTAATGTTATGAAAATTCCACATTTTATAATCAATAGGGCATAATATGCTTGTTTATAGTTCAACACAAGAATCAAACAGATGTTTGTAATAAGAACTTGCTAGGATTTTTTAACATAATTAATAAAAACTGTAGTTATACTCCAAAACCATTAATTATTTAAATTTGCACATAAATTTAAAAGTACTTGAGCTTGACATAACAGCATAACAGACAACCAAAAGTTTATGCATATAAATCAAACATTAATTAGAAATGGACTATTTTTGGGAAGCACTGAGTAGCATATAGAATGAGGTACCTACTTTAAATTAAATGTAGGCCTAGGAGGCTGAAAGCCAGCTGTCCTAAAAATAAATAAAAATTAAATCGGGAAGAATATTTTTTAATAATTAAATAAACTAGCCTCCATCATATACTTTCCAGTATATGGGAGCCAGCATCCGTTCTCCCCCCTCCGGCCAACATGATAGAAAGCCCTGAAGGAGCACTAAGTTAATTATTTGGTTAATATTCATGTTAAGAAAACACCAGCTCGATCATCATCGCGGACCCATAATCTGCATTAAAAACAAACATTTAAAACTTCAATTTAAATTTGAAATCATAGGTGAAATTAAAAATGCATCTTGAAAATAAACTGGGATGGTGATGCAATTAATATTTAAAAATTAACTTTGAGAAGTATTTTATTCGGTGAAATGCTTTGAAAAATTAAAAAAAACTCATAATTTAATAAATCACAAATTTAGTAAATTTTAAGCAGCCATTAAATTAGAAGCTATTATTTTTCACCCAGGAAATCATTCATATTCCTCTGTTTGTAATAATACATATTATGTCCAAAATTATCTTTCCAATTATTTTAAATTATAAGAAATTTTGTTCCAGAACTTAATGCCATTGTGGTCAGAATTAAGCATTTTACAAATTAAGTAGAAAATACAGGAGATTCGAGAAGGCTTTCATCCACCTGTGTTAAAAAAAGAAAAAGAAAAATATAAATGAATAAATTTTCAAGAAATAAATATAAAAATTTTGAAAGTGAAGTTGATAGACAACAGATTTATATTTGAAAATTAATTCTTATTGATGAATAAATTATTTAATGACATTATAAAAACATTCTGAAATGATGCATGTTCATGGAATGATAATCTAAAAATAATTCTAATATATTAAAATATCAATTCTCAATATTTCTTTATAAGATTTTTTTACTGCTGGTAGGGAATAAAAGAGATTACTGAAATGGCAAAAAAGATAGTAAATAAGTTTGTAAGAGTATTTTTTGAAAAAACAATCAAAACTAGTTTTGAAAATTCAATTATACATACTACACACACAACTTAGGACAAATTTGTCCTTGAATTCTTAAAAATCCTAATTAAATCAATAATATATGATATTTATTAGTTAGACTACATGAATAATCCAATGAAAACATTGGCTTAAACTTTAATAATTAAAAAATATAAATTTATTAGAATTACTTAGAAATGGGTCTTGATTACTTTGAGTTGGTGTTGTCTGAATGCATGAAAGAAATATTCAAACAAATTATCTGTTAAATAAACGATTATCTTACGAGGTTGGCTTTCTTTTTTTTTCTAGATCAAAAACAGAAATCATTATTTAAATTTAATTAATTGATGTAATTTACTTTATATAGAGTGAAATACTAGCACAACTTTTTAATTGTTATCAGAAAAACTAATTATATTTATTTAATAACGGCTAACAATCACAAAAAACAATAAAAATAAAAAATACACTTAAAAATGAACAAAGGGGTCTTCATCTTGCTAGAAAATCTTTAGGGCATTGTATAGATAGATTATATTAAACAAATAAATAATTGCATAAAACTGATGAAAATGATTAATGTGAAACTACTCATCTAGAAAGAATTTTTTCTCTCTCATAATTCATAAAATTGTATAGAATTTATTTTATTTAAAAAGGACTTCTATTCAAACCTAATACTTTACAATAATGCCATTTGAAGCAAGAAGAAAAATTGAAATCAGGTTACATTTAAAAAAAGATTTTATTAATAACATGAAAAGTTAGAGTCTGAAAATATTTAATCACTGTATAATTTACTAACATTAAAAAACAATACATACATTATTAATTTTAATGTATCTTTATACATTGTGTGAGCAGATTTCTCTGTCTCACTTTCCAGTTCCATCGTATTTCCTGTTAATAAGAAATACATAACTGCTTCAAGGTACTGCATTCCTTGAGCTGATTCATCTTGTTCTCGGTCTGCACCATTTTTTAATCTCTTGGCTTCAGATAAAAACTGATCCCTGTAAGCAATAAATAGATATCAATATATATTCATTCCTTCATTACATTACATTCGTTACATTAAGTCTGTAAAAGAATACTTCCAGAACCTAAATAAAAAAAGAAGTAGTGTTAATAATTTTCATTGTTATCAGCAGCTGATATTCTAGATACTACATGTGTAATCCTCACTTACTCAAGTAGAAGAATCAAAATATTCTTAATTTTGTAATAATCATCATATTTTAAAATAAGAATGCTTAATCAAATATATTAAGAACAATTCCAACGATATTTAATTTTTCAAGCAGCTACAAGGTAAAAATGTATATGATTATTTATTTTATTGGATACTATTAAATCGAATAAACCTTTTTAGGACTAAAGAAAAAAAAAAAGAGTGTGGATGGAAAATAATAATTTATTTTCCTATTGCTGTTAAATTGTAGGAAAAAGATAAAAGTAAAAAAAGTGTGATGATTACATTGATATTGGTGCCACTTGAGTAGTTATTAATAAGATACGAGAAGTAGATCAAACAAAGTACGGTTGGGTCCCTGTACCTTTCAATTTTGTTGGCATAATCAAAGCCTTCCCATTCAATAAGATTTCTTAGGAAGAAATAGATATTTTTATTTTTATAAGGTAGTGTGTCTCATAATGTTAATTAGAAAAGCAAATCAGAATGGAGTGAAGAAAAGTCAATTTTAACAAAGATATTGATATGTGAAATTAAGATTATAATAAAAAGTCATAAACCTAGCAGTTGGTTTGGGAATAATGTAACTAAAGAATTAAAAAAAAAAAAAAATATATATATATATATATATATATATATATATATATATCTTATATATAAATATATATATATATCTTACTTATCATCAGTATCACACAATTCTGTTTCCTCTGGTTTTTCAAAGTATGAGAAATACTGCAAATTTTTCCTCTTTTCTTTATCCTTATCTTTTTCATGATCTCTTCTTTCCCGTTCATGATTAGTAGGTGGAGCATCAACAAGCGTTCCTTCGTTCTAAAAAAAAAAAATTTAAATATTAAATTAAATTTTATAATCAACTGATTTTTATGATATAATTCAATAAAAGGTCATCCAATTGCATTTACCTTGGAACCATGGCGTTCACTATGTTTCTTCCTTTTAACACTTTGATGTGTGCTAGAGTGATGTAAATTTCCAGCATGCGATGATGTAGTGGAGCTTGTACTTGATCTCCGATCCTTTTTGGTGGTGCTAGTACTGAACATAATAGTTTCAAAATAATATTAAATCAATCAATTTTATAAATATTTCAAAAATTTAATGTTACATACCTTGAAGAAGCATTTTCTGATTCTATAGTTACTTCAGGTGTTAAGCGTTTAATAACTTCTAAGTTATTGGGCTTTTGAATCTCTTCTTTAACTTCAGCTGATGGAGATTTCTTCCTTTTCTTCAATTTATCATCTCTTGAACGATGTTTCTCTGAAGATTTACGTTCCCTTTTTTCAGACTTTGAATCAGACTCAGTTTTCTTTGCTTTAATTTGCCTCGTATCTGATAATTCTGTCCTAGTTCTGATTTCTTCTGACCTACGTTTACTAGGTAAATGGGGCAGCCTAGATAAATCTAAGCTAACCATTATTGATGGCTTACCATTTGTATAAGTCAAAGGTGGAATAACAATACCTTTTGCCTTTGTTTCCTCAGCTACAAATATCTCCGGTATTCTGGAAAGCTGTGGTGTATGTGATACCACTGGGGGAGTCATTTCTACTTTATTTACATGAGAAGTTCGTTCAGGATCACATTCAATAACTGAAATACCTGATTTACCTCCTTTTGCACCGGACTTTCCTCCACCTTTGCCACCACCTTTGCCACCTCCTTTACCACCCCCTTTTCCACCACCACCCTCATTGTCTCTTTTTGAGAAAAGTTTTCTTAGTGTGTCATTTTTCTTTTTGTCTTGGATAGTTTGCCCATCTGAATCTAATTTTGGTGGACTTTCCTCTTTTTCAGCATCACTTTCACTAGATCCTTTAGGCGGCCTTTTCCCAGGAGCAGGAGGAACTCTTGAAATAGGTTTTAGAGGAGAAGAAACTATATTATTTGTTTCTTCATCACTACTTGATAATTTGTTCCATCCCGTTTCTCTCTTAGTTCTCTCACTTGAACTCTCTTTTGCAGAACGCCTGTTACTCCTTTTCCTAGAAACAGTAGAATGGACAGACCATGATTCATCATCTGAATCTGAATTGCTAGGGATACGTTTCCTTTTAGAATCATCATCAGTGTTGCTAGCTGCTACTGGAGTTTTTATGTTTCTTTTCCTACCTCTCCTTGATAAGGATTCAGATTCGGGAGTTTTTTGAGCCGAATTAGTATTAGTTGCAGCAGGTGTTCTCTTCCTTGCTCTTTCTGAAGATGGTTTCCGAGATGGAGTAGAAGGCTGACGTTTTTTAAATTGTTTATCTCTTTTTACATTTCCTTTAACTTCACTTTCACTTCCTGATGGTGTTTTATTTAAAACTCTCGTATTGCGAGGTGATGGTATTATAGGTTGCACAACCTCATTTTCTTCTTCACTGTCAGTTTGAACAGGTAAGCTTTTAACTGGTTTTTTTCTACGCTTTGGGCGGCCTACAGGTTTTTGTTTCCCCTTCTTTTCAGCATCACTGTCTGATAAACTTGACAGCAATGGTTTGGATAACACATCATCACCTAATTCAAGTTCAGAATCATCTTCAATTTTAGATGGTTTCACAGTAATTGGTGGTGGAGGTTCCTGAAAAATCAAAAGCCAATAGATTAACATACCAAAAACTACCTTTAAAAATGTTTATATAATTGAATAAGCATTACAGTTAAGTATTAATGTATAAAAGGTTTTTTTTTTCATATAAAACAGCTAATTGGTTATGCGGAGCATGGATCTAGAAGAGTCAGTCGAACATACCTCAGGAGGGGTAATCAAGAAATATGTAATCTCCTGGGTGAACCCAAAGGGCCACCGAAGTGTAAAAAAGGGTGATTTTTATCATTTATTTTTATAATATAAAGACCTGATATAGAGAAAGCATTATTCCTATAATGATTTCTGTGAAGGGCGTAGGCATGCGATTAAGGGAGGCTATTAGAAACTTTTATAAAAACAAAAGGAATGTGATCAAAATATGCAACATAATTCCAGAGAACAAAAATAAGGAACAAACAGGCGCTAATGACCCTAGGATTTTATGCTTCAAAGCCCAAATAAACAAACATGCAACATGACATTCAAAGATTTCCAAACTACTAGAGGAATAAGGCAAGGATGTTGTAGCCTGAGTTAACTTTATAATAACTATAAAAACATTCATAAATTAAATGATGTGAATCTAAACATCCTGGGATAAGAAGAGATTTTTAAACTTAATTCAAGACCATAACGGGTGCAGCAGAATGTCTCAACCACCTTCTTCTTTGTCCACTGCTGATATCATTCCTTAAGTCGAGGGGCCTGGATCCAATGTAGCCATCCCACTCGGGCCTGGCTGAGCTGCCTCATTTCTTGGAGAGTTTTACTTCTCTTCCCTCCAATCCGCTATATATAGTCCTGGTAGGAAATTCAGGGATGGCCCCGTGGTCTCCTCCCAGTTGGTTGAGCTTCCATCACTTTCCGAGATTCTCTTTCATCCTCCATCCGACAAACGTGACCAAATCACTTCACTTGTTGATTTTCAAGTGTAGTCTTTAGCTCCACCACATCTAGCTCCTCCCCTATCAGTTCATTTCTAAAATGGTCTCTTCTGGTCGTACCAACGGCTCTCTGCAGGAACTTCATTTCAGCACTTGTCACCCAGCTGGCCTGCATGTCAAGATTTTTTGCGAATTATATAATAAGCAATTAATATCTGCCTAGATTTTTTTGCGAATTATATAATAAGCAATTAATATCATATTCCATAAGATGCAATATTTTAAAACAAACTTTGAATAAGATTGATTGAATGGACTAGCAATTCTTTTATGGCATCATTTTATCTCTTAAAAGTAACAACTATCCTGAATAAAAGTTCAATTTCAATACATCTATTGTTCCTTTCCTTGTGTAATAAGTGATAAATCTTATTAATTTATTATTAAGTGATAAATCTGATTTCCTCACTTCATTGACCACTTCCTTTCTTTGGTCATACATTAAAAAAAATAAAATAAAGTGAAAATACAAAAAAAATAACTATGTATTAATTAGTAGAAATACATTTTAAACAAATGATCCTTAGTAACCTGAGGTAAGGAAATTAGTTCGCTAATTTGTAATATTTTATATCTAACTATACCATCAATAAAACAAAATATACAACCTTAACTGCCAGTCATCTTAATTTTTTGTTACTGCTCTACAGTTCCTTTGACCGAAGATATTTCTTGCACCTTCATTCACATAATCAAGCCTATTAGCCTTGTTCTTCCAGTTCTTATTATGCGGAGCTTTTTGTTTTTAAGAGTGTTAAAGGAATTTCCTCTGACTTTATCCTGGTAACGTGTCTGTCTAGATAAAGGCCAACAAGGTCCAAATCCCCACAAAGACAAATGATCTATAGATTGCTTCACGTCTGGCACTGGCCTTCAATGTGGTTACATCGTTCCTCCATTCCGTACTTTTTCTAGTATTTCTTTACTCTTCAGACACGAGTAAGTAATAATTTTTCATTGTTCAAGTGATCATAATAGTGTTAGCGAAGAAGCTGTTTGCTGCGATAAATAACAAGTGAGTCGTAAATAAAGGTCGAGGAACAGTTGATTGCCCCCTCCGTAAGTGCTCCCCACCACTGCCTTCACTAAGTTATTCACAACTTCTAATAGAACATTAAATATTAATAGCAGTGTGTCCTATTTGTCAATTGGCTATTGCCAGAGAAAACAAGATTGCTCTCATGTGTTATTTTTGCAAAATTCTGCATCATGGAAAATGTGTAAAAATAAGTCACATTATTAAAAAAGAATCATACATCTGTAATTCCTGTGAGAGTTCAGCGAAGTCGACTGTAGCAAGGCAATATAATGTTACAGCAAGCAGAAATATGGAAGATAATATTGCAGCAGTACTTGCTGAAGTTGCAAAAATCACCAATGACACAAAAGATATTAAAAATACCCTAAATAAACCTAAAGAAAAGATGAAATCATAGAAAAGTAATTTCTCGAAAATAATACTTTAAAAACTGGAGGTAAGAATTAATCAGGTGGAACAGGCTAAGATTTCCCACTCTTTAGAAATCATAGGTATTCCAGTGAAAACCAGAAAAACACCTGAGGGCATGGTCTTCTCAGTTCAGGTGCAGCTCTGACCATTAAGCTCAGTATCAAAGATCTGAACATAGTGGAGAGAAGAAATCCAAAACAGAAGACCCTCATCCACTGCTAATTATAGTGTGCTTCGTCCGTCAGACCGTTTGAGACTAGGTGATCCAGCTCCATAAGGTAAAAAGAGACTTTACTACAAGGCATCTGAGATGGGAGAATGATGACAGGATTTACGTTGCTGAAGCTATGTCACCAGGAAACAAACATATTTATTGGCTTGCCAGACAGAAAAGAGCAGTATGTCTGGTTTGCAAGAGGACGTGTCTGTTTCTGACGCTGGTCAACCGATAATCATCATAAATAAAGCAGAAGTCTTGATGTATTCCAATGACTTATATTCAATCGTTATGACAAAAATATTCATTTATTTTTCTTTCGTTATTTAATTTATTGTATATACTCCACTTATTCGCTATATAACTGTAAATTTATAATCTTAGGTTTATACTATTTCTTTTTGTTTATAATTATATTCTTATGAAATATTGTATATTTACTCAAAAACATAAACTTTTTCTTGTGCTTAAGACTGATTTCTGATAGACAATATGCTCTCTCCTCTTCATTAATTATCTGCATTAGTTGGAAAAGTACAAAGGAATGTTAGGAAATAAACAAAGGAAACACCTGCCAGGTCAAAATTGGACTCTAGCTTTCTGAGCCTTTCCCAACAAGCAAAGGATGGCTCCAGGGGTGTTGTGCTTCTCTTTCTCTGTTCAAGATTTATATTGACATTTGTTTGAAAGCATGGAGATAAAATGTGAACCCATGGGAATTCACTTGAAAGAAAAGGTGTTCCTATATAACCTATCCTTTGTAGATGACTAGGTCATCATTGCACAGGACTCAGAAGATGCTGGATATATGTTAAGAAAATTAAATGAGGAATACCAGCAGTGGGGACTAGTTATTAATGCAGAGAAAACGGAACACATGACATTCGATAATGAGGATATAGAACTGAACCCAGGATGGGTTCTAAAAATAATTAACATTTTAAACATCTTGGTTCCATAATTGAAATAGATGGTGCATGTGATGTGGAAATCACAGAAACATTTCAGAAGGCAAAAAGACCATATCAATGCTCAACTCGGTATTATGGAACCGAAACATTATCCCCAAAACAAAAAAAAATATCTACAATAGAATCGTACTGAGTATTATGACATATGGGTCTGAAACTTGGACCTTAAAAAGCAACCTCAGGAAGAAACTTCTAGCCACAGAAATAGACTACTGGAGACGAGCGGCAGGAATATTCAGAATGGATAAAGTGAGAAATACGACCATCAGAGAAAACATGAAGGCTAAAAGAACCATTCGGGAAGAGATTGAGAAAAAACGCCTGAAGTGGTATGGACATTTAAAAAGAATGCCTGAAGGAAGACCTGGAATAACTAAGTGGAGGAATCCATGATGGGTCATGGTCAACGGGAAGAATGGACCTTAGATAGGACATTATGGAAAGAAGGCTTCCAAGCATTTTAGGTTAAGGAAACCCAGTATTAGTGGAAACTCCTAATAATGAAAGAAGTTGGAATAGTCATTTCTTTTTTTTTTTGCTGTCAATTTTCTTTTTTAATAATTATAGTTTCTTAGTTTGTAATTATACCACAGATTATTACTATTGTTCCTTTCCTTTCCGAACTCTTACTGATCCCTCTTTACATCTTTTTCTACTTTCATATGACTAATATCCTATTAACTTGCCATATCAACTCCCTCCCAGCACATTTCGATGGATTCCTTGATTATTACCTCCATAACTTTTATCACATTATTGCCGCATCAGAAACCTGGCTCAAACCAAATGTTCCTTCCTCCTAGATATCCATCATTACCTATGTCCTCATTCATCTTGATCGAAGGTACCGAACAGGTGGAGGAGTTGGCCTTTACGTCCATCAATGTTTTAGGGCAAAAGTTCTTCACAAATCTCGCTCTGCTAAAATTCCTCATTTAGTATAGCTATTCGTTGAAATTTTCTCAGATTCATTTTCCCTTCTTTATGTTCTTACATATTACCCTTCTTAAGTCTGATATGATCCTGCTTTTGGATCCTCTTTTTCTCCTATGTTCCCTTATAGCCCAAATCAAAAGCATGTACTTCATATCCTGTGGCTCCTGATCAACTCAATTCATACTTTGCCGATCCAATCCTCACACCATTTTCATTCTAATACCAAAAACTTGTTTTAATCCTGAGAATTTATATTTTAGAAATATTTCACCTGAGGACCTTCTTTCCTCTATCCTGCAATCCAGAACAAATGAATATGGTCCGGATCAAATTCCAGTGAAATCAGTCAAAATATGTCTTCCTGTCCTTTTGCATATCTAAAATTTTTCCTTGCAAAATTCCTGTTTCAAGGGACACTCGTTGCATAAATGAAAAATGTGATATAAAAAAGTCAGCCAAAGATTGGATGCTGTAAAATCACTAAGTTATGCTAAATAAACTCTTTGACTAAAACAGCTGTATGTAATCAATCATGTTAGGTAATGCCAGATTTATAATATTCATTTACAATATACATCAAAGTAACTATCTAAAATAAGACATATACATATTCTAAATGTAATATTCAAGTAGTCAGTAATTTAAAAAAAAAATGTGATGTTTAAAATAAAAATTAGTGACATCATGTGTGAAATGAAAAAAATGTTAGTTGTGATCAGAAGAAACAGGAAAAGTGAGAATTTTTGTTGTTGTTATTATTACAACGCAAAATGTATGTGACAGAATTTGAAAACATATAAATAAACAAGCACCATGTTTTGATAATGAGCCGATATAGAGTTACGATGCTTGGTTCTTTGGTATTTGGGATGCCTAGGTGAATATACATCAAGTTAGCATCAGTAGGCAGTTCTAAGTTGAAGAGTTTGACAGAATATTTTTTTATTTCGATAGCATAATAGAAAATAATTTTCCTAGAGCTAAGAGAAAACATAAATTTATCAAAAAGGAATTTGATAAATGCAGGATTTAAAAATCCATCAATAGAAAATCACTTCCTGAGAATGGACAGAAACAAATGAATCGAAATAAATAAATTAATAAAATTGGACAAAATATATTAGAGAAAAAAAAACAACCACTTTAAAATCTCAAATTTTAATCAAATCCAAGAGGTCATGGAGTTAATAAAAGAAACAATAGGACACTTCAACACATAAAGAAAAACAAAGAATATTCAAAATTTAGAAGAATTTATTCTAAAACTAACAAAATTGGGCAACAAATATCCGGTAAAATAAAATAAATTTTTACCGGAGTTGGTTTTCTTTCTGGATTGGCAGGAGGCTGCAGAAAAGATTTCAATTCCCAACTTTGTCTAGGAGGCTCTGGAAGAACTGGGTTGGGAAGTTCTTGAGGAACAGGTGTTGAAGTGCTGGAATCACTTTCTGAACTGTCAGAACCAGAATCGCTGCTAGAAGAACTCCCATCAGGTGAAACTGACATTGGTCTCACTGCTTCAGGAACAACACTAACTGCAGGTGATGTTAAACTAAAAAAAAATATATATATATATACATATATGAGTGAAAATAAAATAAAATATAATGGAATATAGGATATTTGCAAATGATTAATTTCTAATGCATGATATAAAATTATAATAAATTTTAAGTCGATAGGATATCAAATGACAGTAATAATATTCCTTTGAAAGCTGTAATATGACTTTTTCTAAAAAATACTTGTTTAAGTTATCTAGGAAGAAGTTGGTTGAGCTTTAACCACTAATTTACTGACAATTCTACATATGCCTAGAGATTTTCTAGAGTGAAACTTGCTTGATGAATTCAGCAACAGCAAACCTTTGTAGGTCATCCAAAAACGATAAAAACGTCCAAAACCAACTCTACTTTTATGATCAATAGCTTCTCATCAATTCATTTGATTTGTAAATAATATTCATGAGTCAATATTTTTAATTAGTCTCTCTGTGAAAATTTAGTGAATAATTATTACAAATAAAAGTTCAAATATGTATTGATTGATTTCTATTAGAATTTCATTAAATTGCATTAAGAAAAAAAAAAGAATTAATTTAGCTGATGAACAACATGTTTAGTATAAATCACTTGAAAATATAATATCAAACAGTCCAATGCTGCAAAATAATTACATGGTAAAATCATATTTTTGGAATTAGCAGTAAACATTATATCTTTAATTACTTACGTCATTTTAGGGCCCGGTGATTGTGTAAGATCTACAATTCTATTAGGCTGAACTTCAACTGGAGGGATTTTTGGAGGTTCAGGAACCTTAAAAATAAAACAAGTTACAATTCATAATCTATTTTCAGGAAATAAAACACTTTAATATGAATTTAATAATAAAGTTTTGGCAACTATGGATATTAAAATTTGTTAGAAGCTTAATTAAATAAAAAATAAATGTCAATCAAATAATTGACATCTGATCACTTCAGAATTTATATTGTAGAAAGTTAAAATTTAAAGTGATTATAAATTAAAGTTAGATATCATTTATTTAAAATAAGGAATTCTTGAAAAAAAAAACATTAAGTATATTAAAAATCATAAATTTAAATTCCTCTAAATATTTTAACATCAATTATTTACATATTAAATACACACATATAAGATATACTTTACCTTTGTCTCTTCATCACTATCTTCAGATAAACTTAGGTCATGAACAAGATCACTGTGAAAGAAAAAATAAAATAATGTTAATGTTAACTGAAGGAGTTAAGGAATTAATTTTAAAGTATTTTATGGTCATGAGATTCATTCAATATTTATATCACTTTATTTATTTTCACATTTGTTTAGTGTACATATTTTAAAAAAAATTAATTTAGTTATATCTTTTTTTTTTCCAAATGAACTCATGTAATCCATAAAGAGTAAGTATACTGTTCAAATTCTATCCAAAATAATTTGAAAGAAATTTCTTATACTTCTTTTCCCTGCATTTTTGTATTTATTTATTTTTTTTAAACTATTTACTGTTAGTTTTTATACTGCTCAATGGTTTTTTAATGTTTGAAATCCTATAGCCCCTAAATTTTTTATTAAAATTAAAATTATTCCAGCTGGAATAAAAAACAGAATGTAGATACTACACTATATCTCAATCTTTACATCTTTCTGGATTTTACAAGATGCATTCCTGAATTTTATCGGTGTTTTTTTTTTTTTTTACCACTCATTCACTGACCAGATTCATGAAATCAATTCCATTTCTGTGGGTTATTGAAATTGAAATTTATACAAAGTATGATTTTTGTGATGATACATTTTCACATTTCATTACTGGTAGTTAAATTAAAAAAATTATTATAAATACAATTTAAACTAAGGTTAATCTATTTGAGTTCAAGAACAGTGACAAATCGGTCTAGGACTTAGCATTATGGTTGTTCAGAGTCAGCAGGCACAGGAGGACCTATATTTCTTGGAAATATCTTTCCAAGAAATATAGGTCCTCCTGTGCCTACTAATGCTGGATGGAAATTGAACCCACACAGTTCAAAACACACTTAAAAACTCTTCCTAAAAGTGTTTGGTCATTGTTGCTATGTACATATAGGATGCAAGGTAGAAATTATAAAAAAAACTAATTAAGGAAAAATTATAAATTTTTAAAAGTTAAACATTTTAAAGTAACTAACTCTACAGTCTTTAACAAAAATATAAATAATAAATATAAAAAATAAACCAAACCTACCCTGAAGGAAATCCTGTCTGTACAGACCCATGTCTACTAAGCTCTGTCAGAGATTTATCTGAAACAAACAGATTCATTAGTAACAATTGTAAAAATAATTCCAAATAATTATTTAGCTCATTAATACACTAGTTTGTATCTTGGCGAGGATTCTAATCATTCAGTTGGTTGGTAGACAGCTCAATGAGATTTTAAAAAACATGAACTAAGTTATGATTTTTGTATATAGAGAAAAACGAACATATTGAGATAATGGGAATATGAGAACAGCAGTAACACTACTAAAATACACCAGATGGTTTAGAAACATTTCTGGAAAATAAAAGGAAGTAGTCCCAGAATTTCAACGGAAAAAAACATGTGAAATAAGGTGTGGATAAGTAGTCAAAAACTAAAATTTCCAAATGATAACAATATTTGCAACAAAATTTTTAAGAATTTCGATCTTAACAATTTGTCTGATTGAAATTTCCTGAAACATTAATTAAAAAATTATTATATAGTTATTTGGCACATAAATAGTCTGATTTCCTTAACTCTTTTGCAATTGAAGTTTTTATTTACCTATTGCAAGTTTTGACACTTGATGACAATAATTTTTTCTCCTAATCAAATAAAACATTGTTTTAAAAAAGTTCCAATTTCTCAAATAAGAAGGTATTGGTATTGCTATTTAATTATAGTAACACTTTGAGTAGTGTTTTATCACAGTTTTCGCAGTTTATCAAAAGTCCAAGTTCCCAACTTTTTATGTTTAAAGCATTATGGCTATTGGCAAGAGGTGAGCCCCCCCCCCCCTCCTGACTCCAGATCCAGAATTTAATTTTAAAGGACTTCAGCCTAAAAGCTTTTTTTTTTTTTTTCATATATATATAACCATAACTACTTCGGAAAAAAAGGAAAAACAAAATACCTATATAAAATGGTGTTTAAGTGATTATTATTTTTTTCTATAAAACATGGTTATATTTTACCATTTTGTGCGGGGCTTCAGTCCGAAAGCGTCCCTCCCCCCTCCCCGCAGATCCGCCTGTGTTACTCACAATTTCTTAAAAACATGTAAGAAAGTATAATTGGAAAAATCGCAGATCGTATAAAATTAAACTTGCTGTAGTCTGGTCCTTGCTTTTTCCCTTATCACATGGATTGAAACTTTTCATTCCAAAAATTCATAATCCCCGTAGAAATTAACACCCCTTAAACATTCGGAATCGCGTAAAAATGTGCCTCCCTCAAAAATTTAGAAGGCGCAACTTTAACCATGAAATCCCTTTCTTGGCACCCCCTGCTATTGGTTAAAGTGTAATTTTATATTTTTACTTTCACTTACCTATATATATATAATATAATATATAGTAAGGGTTGAGTATTGTAATCGTGAAAATTTTCGAGTTTGAGTTTTCAACGGAAATACACGTTTTGAGGTATCCTGAGTCCAAATGACCAAGTCCCGAAAAATGGTCTGTGTGTATGTTTGTGTGTACACTCTAGCTCGAAAACGAAAAGTCGTACGAAACTAATATTACGTATTTAAGATAGGTATGTGCATTAGATGTCCTAGTAACTTTTTCCTTAAAATCGGCTAACTGGAAGTGCCACTTTATGTCAACGCTGAAACACATTTTTACAATTTTCTCAAAAACGGTTTTGATTAAACTCGGTGCATCATTGTATAATCAAGTGGTCTTTAATAGCATTTAGGTCTTAAATGCTAAATCTAACTTTTGAAAGAATTTGATAATTGAATAAAGGAGAAAAAAATAAAAATGCTTATCCAGGTCGAAAATGAATCTCCGGAAATAATAGTAAGAAGGTATACGTATAATATATCGTTGGAAAGCGTAGAATTTTAGAAAAAAAAACAATATCTAATATAGAACGTTGTAGAAGGTAACGGAGAGTGGAAAAAAAATTATAAATAATAATTTTTGAAAATTAATATATTTAACGTAAATCACGTTTTCAAGGAAACTAATTGAACTTCACTAACTAAATTTAACCTTTTAACATATTTTTAAGTTTGAAAAAAATGTTTAAAATCCACCTAATCAAGGCAATGACATTGTTTAAAAAACTATTTCATAGTAATTGTGTGAAAGAAGAAGTAAAATATAAAATCATTTCATGGATGTATAAAGCATATGTTTATAACCTTAAATACATTTACTGTAGTTTAATAATTCTAAATCTGATATTATATTTAAATAATTAGGTATCAACGTCCGTTTATTCAGAAATATTGTCATATAACTTTTTAGATAATTAAATTAGTGAATAATTTGATGAATGTTCCCTTTGTGATATTCCAACAGTATTTACTATTATTTTATTGTACTTGTGTGAAAGAAGAAGTGAAATATAAAAATATTTCATAGATACGTTTATAACCTTAAATATATTTACTGTAGTTTAATAACTCTAGATCTGATATTATATTTAAATATTTAGGTATCTATCGTCCGTTTATTCCGAAAAATCATCATGTTTTAGAAAATTAAATTAGTGAATAGTTTGGTGAATTTTTTTTTTTTTTGTGATATTCCAACAGTATCCTCTTTCAATTAGTGTGACAACGTTTGACCTGTATATGACAGACAATGCAAATCTCTGAATTCCGTTTTAGTAAATTTTGCAATGGAAAATAACAGTTTAATAACTAATAGTCGTACAATCCATAATCAACCGTTGATATAACAAATAAAACTTCTGTTATTTTAATGATGTTTATGTTTTGTTAGCTGTAATTTTTTAGCTTTAGCTTAGTTAAAAATGCAATTCAAAAATTTTATAATAGCCCGACATGGCCAGAAAATAATTTCTATTCAAAGTTGAGAGGTAAGTGAAAGTTGTGTGCGCCACCATTTTTTAAGTAAACTAGTGATTGACAGAAGGGAAAACAAATTTCAATGAGAAAAGTTCAGTACTTTTTGATTAGAATTCGAAATTCGTCATTAAACGCAGTGGTAGATGGAACTAATTTGTATTAATTCTATCAATCGAATTAGAGGCTGAAAAAGTCATTAGTAGTCAATGAGAAACTTTGACGGACAAATTTCTGATTCGGTAGGAGAAAAAATGATTTAGGGACGAAAATTGATCGATCGATGGATACTGTTTAGAAAATTAGTCGGACTGATTTTTGTTTCCTTAGAAAGATGGACAAACAAATGTTTTTTCGTGCTGGGCCAAGATGGTTAAGCTATTTTTTCATAGATATAATTTTGAACAGATTTGACACCAGAATGAAGCCCTATACTCAAAATATAGAATAGATGTGGTGAGAAGATTATTGGAACATACCAAGATTCGGCAGAGACAAAATTACTGTTGTTGGACCAATCGCGAGAATATAAGTAAGTAGTAAGTAGTTAAAAGTAGTAAGTAAGTTAAAACGTAATTTTGAAGTATATAATTTCTTCCTTGAGGTAGTGACAGTTCTAGGATTGAAGGTAAAAATTCTAATATTATTTTCTTGATGAAAATTCTAGAGGGATGGGATCCTCATTAGTGGTGTTCGAAGGTTTATTTTATTGTTTAAACATGAATTTATTTATTATTTTATGTGGTACATAATCTGAAGTAAGAAGTGATAATTTGTGAGAAGTTTCGTTACGTTACTTCGATGAGGACTAAAGGAAGTCGCATTTCGAGAGTAACGGGACTATATTTAATAATATGGTAAAAAGTTCAAAATAAAACCAGTCGAAACAATATAAGAGGCACTCACTATAAGGAATAAGTTAATTTTTTTTTTGCCACTTAAACGGAAGTAAATTATAACTCATTCACGTAATTCACCCTTAACTCCTAGCCGGAAACACCTGCCTGCCATCCCCCCCATTACCCTGGACAGCAGTTCTCACGTAAGCCGCAACATCTGGCTTATCAACGAAAAATGTAAAATAACTTTTAAAATAGCTACAGGACACATTCAACAATAGAACAAAACGAAAAAAAGAACTGAAGATTAAATGGTTGGCGAATTTTTTGACTGGGAAGAAACAACCTTATCAATATTTACATAGGTTTTCAATATGAATAAAACTAATTATGCCCCTTTATGACTCTTATATACGAACGATAAAGACAATTTCATTTTTATAACCGGATAGAAAATATTTCGAATCACATGAGATATCATTTTGTGAAGTAGAATAAGAATGTAATGGATATTACAAGAATAAAAGAAATATATTACTATTGTTTCCTTACTTAAGACATCATTTTTTTTTTAAATAAATGATACTTTTAGCTGTTTTTTTAGACAACAGATTTAAAATCGTGATAGCTTAAAAAAAGAAACTTACAGATCCATCCTTTGGTGGGTCAGGCATCATTGAAATAGATTCATTAGATATATTATTGGCATATCTAATTTTATAAGGGTGATAACGCAATGTTAAATCAAATGAAATACGAAAAATTCTATCAAAACATTGTTACAAATACAAGTTTTAATTTATGTCATATAAATTATTCTCAGTAGAACATTTAGTCCCAAAAGAAATAATAGTAATACTGAAATGTGGCACAGAAAAACTATAATTAAACTCATCAATTGTCCCAGTAACCAAATTTAATCTCATACAAACTAAATATCGCTTTAAAATCGCTTAAGACAGGAGATTCGCTCATTTCAGATAGATGACTCAAATATACTTATGTCATAGTATTTTTTACATCACGGTACTTATGTACGGTGAATATATTAAATGGTATCATACATGCAATGACCAATATTTTTATTTTTTTTACAACAAAAGAAATATGAAGTAGTCTTAAGTTGGTACATATTAGCTGGATGTCAACCTGGCCAACTATTTTGAAAATATTAGAGGATCGTAAATACCTGTCAATTGAAGACGAGAGAAGGTCTGTAGATATTGTAAACTGTGGCAGAGGACGGATGTCATTTCAAAAGCAGCGGGTAAGAGACATGTGGGCCCTAAGGACTTGGCTAAGGGTAGCGGGAAGGAGAGTGGGGGCACCAACGGACATCCCCCCCTCCGAGGGGGGGCTCTCGCCACTTCTCATTTTACTTTCAATAATGGCCTCCCTTCAACCTCAACGTATGCACCTTAATAAGAATCTCAAAGGTTTACCAATTTACATTTCAACAGCCTCATTGGTCATCGAAACATCGAGTAAAATGCCACCATAGAACAATTCAGATGTCACACAAATGAGAGTAAACTCGTTTTTCAACTAAGTTTTAAGATTTATTTGTATGATCTTCAATGTATACCATCGATGCAGCGATTAGCAAAAGCAAAAACTTAGTAAACATTGATATTGAATGCAACTACGGTTCATTTTAAAATTTCTTGTAATCTTATAAACAGCTTAATCGAGAGATCGGATAGTTTGGACAAATGTTTTATTCCAACGTTTCGAGCGGTACGGACCCAAATACTTTAAATAAAGTAATGTTTAGCTTAGCCGTTTTATACAGACACAGTATCGGTTTATTGTGGCAGAATAACCAAAATAACTATAACATGCACTAATCCCAGAGAGGATTAACCGATTAAAAACAAAAGAAATACACAACACTATTGATAATAAAAAGTTGAATAAGACTTTTTTTAAAAATCTGGTTTAATTTTAAAGGCCGTTTGAGTCATTGACTTTCATTCACGAATGATCGTGTAAGGGTCGGGTCGCTTATAGTTAGTTGTGCTGGTCATGCGGCGTCAATCCACGTACCGACTCTCAGCTCAGAATAAGAAGAGGAAGGAAGGAGAACAAGAGACTAGATTTATTGAATCGTGTAAGCTCTAAATTGATGACTTTTTTTGTTCTCTTTACAGAGGTAATATTAGTTTAAATGTTTACACACACACTATATATATATATATATATATATATATATATATATATATATATATATATATATACATACATACATACATACATAAAACGCACTCAGCATGATCATTATATCTAATTCCTAAGATCTAATTCCCAAGTCGTTGGTCATTCGGCCATCCGACATCTTGCTGCCCAGTATGATATTTATATTTAATGTGGTTTTATATGAACTTCATGCCGATTTTAATTTTTTTGATTACATACTTTTTGTATTAAATATATTTTTTTTAGTTAAAAAAACAAAGACCTTGTTTTGTGATTTAAAATGAACAAAATGTTAGGTTTTATAGAAAGAACGAAGAATTTTTTTTTATTTATTGAGTAATATAACATTCTGTCAGATGGGCTATGGTTATGTTATAGTGAGCTGAGATCACATTCACGTTATATATTTACAGAAAATTTGAAATAAACAGAAACAAAATAAGAACTAAATAATAATAAAAAAGTATATACAATAAATTCTTTCTTTATTTAAGGGCTTTTCTTCATAAATTGAAGTTTCCTTCAGCCAACCTCCTCCTTCAGTAGGTTCTTGCACTTCTCTCTGACCAACCCTTCCAATAAATAAAATAACTTGAAGAAAAGTAAATCAAAGAAAAAACAAACATTGGTAAGCACATCACACAACTTTCACTTACCACCCTCTCCTTAGTAGAAATAAGTATTTTCAGACAAAGCGAAAGTGAAAGTAAAAAAATATAGGCGCTACATTTATTTAAATTTCATTGTGGATATTTTATTTGTTGAAATGCCCTTATTTATACAAATTTTAATTTTTAAATCGCTGTACTCTATACAGTTAAATATTAAATAATAGCAACGATAGAATTGATGAAAACCACATATGTATGCGTACATAATATTGTCGGAGTCCGTACTATATTAAGTTCATGTATGGAAGCCTGTTGTAACTTTCGGACGAGCTCGTATTACTTTGATTCCTCTATTACAACTATTATCCGTTACGATCTCTTATTTCCACCTTTCGTTAATTATTAAATTCTTTCATATTTTATATCTAATTATTTTATATTTCAATGATCAATGTGAAATGGCTAAATATTTCAAATAAAAAAAAAATAAAGTTACTTTAGAGGAAGCTAATATTGAAAATATGCCATTTAAGCCCTGCTAGAGAACATCAATGAGAATAAAACCTACATTATATTCAAAACTATTTAATAATACACTGATATATTGAGTAATTTAAATCGTTAGAGCCATTTTAGAGAAAATCGTAAAAATGTTTTAAATCGATTATATAAAGTACCACTTTGGGTTAGCCGATTTTGACGAAAATGTTGCTGTGACATCGAAAGCTTATGAAAACCTCAAATAGGCAATTTCACTTTCATACGACTTTTCGTTTTTGAGCTAGACTGATCACATACACACACACACACACACAGACCACAATTTTGTGGAGGTTGTTTATTTGGACTCAGGAGACCTCAAAACATGTATTTCCGAAAACTCAGATTCGAAAATTATCACGATCGCAATATTTACCTTCACTATATATTGCATATATAGCTAAGTAAAAGTAAATAGCTATAAACACTTTTTACGATGAGGCGAGGGTACTCCGAGGCAGACCTGTCCCTCCAACTATGGAAGGAAAAGCAGGACTCCAGGAGATCCCTGCTACTCTCTCAATAGCGTCACTGGTGCTAAAATCAGTAGAGTTATCGAGAGCGCTTTGGCCACAAACACTCATTTTTTTATTTAGTCAACATTTCTAAAATAAATACAAAAATAAACAATTTTGGTTTTAAATATTACAATATATGACTCTTAAATTTAATTTTAAAAAACACTGGATTTGAGTTTTTAATACTAAACCGATTGGAAATGGGGCTGGTATAATGTCGTTTGGTAGTATAAGATAAGGTACAAAAAATCATAGTAGTCCTTGATTAAGAGCTTTTTTTTTAATCCGAAATTCGTAAAAATATGTGGTTGTTAGATCGGTAACAAAGTCATAATTCTTTCTCATAAATTTATAAACTAATAGTAATACTATAATTTATACTTATATTATCATCTAAAAAATAAAATAATAAATATTGTGAATAACTTACATTGCTTTTGTGGACAGGGTGTGGCTGGGGGTGGAGACAATGGCAGAGGTGGTGGCGAATCTGGTTTCGGTGGGGAAAGTAAAACTGATCGCATCTCCACCGGTTCAGAAAACTGTAAAAGAAAAACCTCACCTCCATTATTTGAAACACAGCTTTTTTTTTTTTTAAACTTTTTAGCAAATTCTCAAACCACGTGTTGGAAGAGGCAGAGCATATAATACCTATACATAGCTTTTGCAAGTCAATTGGTAATCCAACAGCATTTGAAATGTTTCATAAATATTTTATTTTGAATCGATTATTCTATATAATTTCAATGGCTGTTGAAATAATTTGAGGATAATCTTTCGATATGTTTTTAGGTTATTAGATAGTTGATAAGGGCTGATGTCAATAGGAATGGATGGATGAAGAAAACTGGTTTAAGAAAATTCAAACACTTATTGAGAAGAACTAAAACGCCATAAATTTTACACTTTGTTTTGGGATTTGTTCGAATATGTTGTGAAGAATTTTTTGAACCTTTTCGATCATTTAAAAAATCTGAAAGTTACGATATTTCAAGTTATCGGAGTCCTTTGTTTCCCTACGCGACTGCTCAATCCGCCTCCGGACTAGATATAGCATTTATGGAAATGTCGTTAAATTATTTTTAAATACTAATTATTATAACTGGGGGAGGAGATAACCCCCTTGTCCGCCCAACGGCGGACCAACCCCCGTTTTACAAATTATACAACTCTTCATTTAATTGTACTACTCCTTGCTCAAACTGTACAACTCTAATTTATATGTATCTTCATCAGTATTATTTATTTACTTCTTATATTTATATTTATTTCTTTATTATTTGTATATATTGTATGAATGAGAACTTTTAGCCCTAATGCTTATAGCCCTCCCGCAGTTGCTGATTGTATTATTATTCAATAAACAGATTTAAAAAAAAAAAAAAAATTATATGTATTCTGTAGTTCACATTGTAATATTTTTTATCAACATAAAATAAACTGAACGAAACCACAGTTCGGACAAATTTTTAATTTCTTTAAAAATCGATATTATATATCGCGCTTTATTACCAATTTGTAACCATAAATAATTCTGGGAATAAGAAGGGTGGTTTCCTCGTTACGGTCCGTCCCGCTTTGTATATGAAAAATGAAATATGAGATAGCCACTAAAAACTTTTTTATATAATAAAGAGATTATTAGTTTGTTTTTCAAATTTAGTAAAGTTTAAAAAAATATATAAATACAGTTTATGAGGTATTAGAGGATTATGAGTCTGTATTTTACTTGGATTTTTCTCCAAATGGATTTTGAATTACCATCACAGTCGACATTTGTTTTCTACTTTATAGGTATTGTTTACTAGATTGTGACCGATGGAGATTAACAATTTTCTAAGGTATTATTGTGCAAGCTTATTTCGAGAGATTTTTATTGTTGAAGCTTTCTAGATTTTTAGATATCGGTATCGTTTATTAGGCTTTCAGTAAGATAAATTTGAATTCATTGTTGTTATATGTATCTTCTCAATCAATAACTAACTGTTTGAGGTTTCTTTGATTTCAGGAAAGCTATCAAGGACGCTGATTCTGAATTTTTTTTTTTTTAAATAAGCATGCGCATTATTAATTTCTGTTATAGTTCAATGTTTCTTAGATGTAGGTTTCGTAGTTTCGACCTACCTTGTAGGTCGAAACAAACGTTTGAAATTGAAATAATCACTATTACAGTATATAGTCTGTATCTATTTAGCCACCCCCACCTTCTCCTTAAAATAGAATTACTGTCAACAATTGGCACATTATTAAAAAGTATGATTGTATTAACTAACGTCATATTAATACCTCATAGAATACAGAAATTTCCCATCATGCAACCAGATAATTTTAATATATTTGATCCTAATATAACTGTTTAGAAATGAAAATTATAAAACGCTATAGTCGCATTATATATTAGTTTTATTGCATTATCACAGTTATAATCGTGACGTATATTTACAAGAACTTACGGCCAAAACACACTTCAATTTTCTCCACCTATTACATGGTACTAACAAATAAAAAAATATATAAAATATATAGAATCAATGTATTTCCAAATATAGAGAACAAATAATTTATTGACATTAATTCATCTATGTCGAGCGAAATCTGAAACTAATAACTGCAGCAAGGATAGGCTTTTTGTGCAATTCATAAATCCATTTCTCGCATGCGTCTAGTAAATAATTTTTCGCATGCATGTAATAAATGTTGTATATTGCAGTAAGCCTAAGTGAATGCCGAATGGGCGTTTTACAAATTATATGAATGAAAATTCTCTGACTCACTTAGGGGTTGCGGCTAAGTTATCATTCGTCCCCTAACTCTGCCTTTTTTTTTAACTATACATAAATTGATAATGCTTACACAAATATTTTTAAAGATCAAAATTACACAATTAAAATCAATACCTACAAAAAGATAAAATTACAAAATTTAATATTATTATTTTGACAATATCCACATATCTATTTTCAACTTGTGCAAAGCATACAAGCTAACAGACCTTAGATGTCGATATGACAGACTCGTTAGTATTTCTGTAAATTGTTTATTCCAGGTTAATTAGGGTATTGAAGGCGCAAGAGGCGGCTAAACGCTAATTTACTTAATTTTTTTACCTGTCCAAAAAAGTCAGGAGCAAAGCTGAACTTGGACTCTACTTCTTTCCTTGGAGTTGAAGCTATCGCTGTCAAAGGTGCCATAACCTCCGTCATCTCCTGAAAGTTTGAAAATCACGATGAAATTTAGTTTAAATATCACAACATCTCCCTTTTAGCTAAATAAATAACCAGCCAGCTATTTTACCTTCAGAATGTGCTCCACATCGGTTGAGCTAGAAGAACGATTCATGTCTTTATGCATCTGCAAATACAAAAAAAAGATTAATCAAATCACTAACGGCCAATAAATCACAGGGATTATAATAAAACTTATAGTTGATTACTATTTTTAACATTTCTGCAGCCAAATAATATGATAGTGTTGAATAAAACAGTAATTTCAAAAGTAACATTGGTAATACAGCAATGGATTCATCTAGTTAATTTTTGAAGGGTAGTTGCAAAAAAATACTTTTGTATTAGTTATAAAAAATGTTTTATCTTCGGTATTCCAAGAGTCGATCTAAGATTTAAATTTTGAAGAAAACAATGCACATTTGGCATTTTAAATAATAATTAATATTAGCGACTGTAAAATAAGTAAACAACAAACTGAAATTAATACGAGCTTGGGGATCAAAATTCTGCAGCCAAAAAATATGATAGTGTTGAATGAAACAGTAATTTTAGAAGTAACATTGATAAGACAGCTTTCGATCCATCTATTTAGTGTAGTAACCATTGAATTATGAACAATATTTTTGGACACAATTTTTGAATTTCGCTTATATCTCGAAAACAGTGCATCTCAGGAAAAACTTTACTTATAATAAATTTAAGTTTTTAAAACCAACAAAACAAAAGTTTTAGATAAGTTTCTCCTGCGATGCACTGTTTTCGAGATATAATAATAATCCTTCATTTATTCAGGGACGAATCCCTTTAGAATAATTAACAAGGATAGAAATGTGGGCCTTAAATAGATACGTATATATGTATATATATATTTTGGTTTGTCCAGAAAATAATGCAGAATTTTGAGTTCTCATTGTTCATTTGTATGAATTTCAACTCTCATTAATCCTTTTCCAAATTATAACATTTCGCTGCTTAGAAATAGTTCAGTCTTTACTGAGATGTCAACGAGTGATTTTAGTATAGTTTTGTTTTACGAATTTAAACTCGGCCGGAATGAAGGCCAGAAACATCAATCAAGTCTGGGGCGAGGGCAGCATTAATAAGTGCAATGTTCAATGGTGGTTCAAAAAATTTCGGGAGGGAGAATTCAGCCTTGAAGACAAAGAAGTTCGTGGAAGGACTTGCTCTCTTGATGACGATGTTCTGCAAGTTTTTGTGGAAGAAAACCAGAGAGCAACTGTTCAAGAACTTACAGGGAAACTTAACCTAAACAATTCGACCATCGATGACCACCTCAAGGCAATTGGAAAAGAAAAAAGCTTGAAAGTTGGGTTTCACACACATTAAACAAAAAAAAAAAAAAAAAAACAGCGTTATGAAGTTTGTGCTACACTTATTTGCCGAAACAAAAACAACCCTTTTCGGTCCAGAATTGTTACTTGTGATGAAAAGTGGATACTTTACGATAACTGTAGAAGTTCTGGACAGTGGTTCGATAAAGGAGAAGCAGCAAAACATTTCCCAAAGCCCTCAACTCATCAAAAAAAGGTGATGGTTACTGTTTGATGTGGTGGGCTTCATTTGGTTTGAACCACTAGAGCTTCTTAAATCCTGGAGAAACCATCAATGCCGAATTAATGGAATGCCTCAGAAATTGGCAATAATTAAGCCATCTTTGGTCAATCGGAAGGCGTCTATTTTGTTGTATGACAACGCCGGTCACATCTCTCACGTGCGACGTCACAAAAACTGTTGGAGCTTGGATATGAAACTCTGCCACATCCGCCCTACACTCCGGACCTCTTGCCTACGGATTATCATTTTTTTATACACCTGGATAAATAATGGGTTGATACTGTCTTATCCTAAGTACAAACGCTGAATCTTGAAAAAAAAAATATAAATAAATAAATTACCATGAGCTCTGGTAGGTGCGGGCGATGCTGAAGGTTCCTGCTGATAGGCCTCTGATGGGGGTGGATTGGGGGGGCCTTGGATGCACTGACTACCCCGTTGGCCCCATGCTTCACCGGCTGCCCGGGGTAAAACCCTCTCCCGCAGCTGTAGCTCGGCTTCACATCGTTATTCTTGATACAACTCGACCTGGAATACATTTCAGATATTTGGAAAAAGAACTAAGAAATCATAAATAATAATGATCCATACACGATATTCCATGCAGATTTAAGCGCATATTTGGATTGAAAATGAGTGTATTTTGTGATTGCAACCTTAATGTTATAGATTGATCGATATGTTGTGTATTGAGCCTATCTTTTCATCTGGTAAGAACAGGTCAGACTCTATCAGGATACTAATTACCTAATGAAGCTATTGTTGATATTATGAAAGGATAAATGAAGGTAAAGTAAAAAACATAAATAGTTTTTTTTTTTTTTTTAAACTTGAATAAATAAAACTCAAACTTTTACCATAGAATTGGAACTTCTATGCAAAAAAAGTTTCCAAGAACTTGTTTACTGAAAAGTTTCACAAAAACTGTTAAAATGGAACTTTTAAATAAAGTGCCATTAAAATATCAATTTCTGGCATAATGTATGATATATGAAAGTACGAGCTGAATCACTTGATGAGAATGTACTTAAAATTTAAAACGTTTTAGTGCGTATTTTATGTTCCCCATATTCCTTAACGGACAGTGTTAATATGTACGTGCTATGAATCCAAGTTTGCAATAAGATTATTTTGTTTACCTTAGAATATAGTTTGATATTACAGGAATAATAAATATATATATATATATATATACCTATAAGGCGGACGATTGGGTGCGGGATGGTAGGGAGGTTTCTTGAACTCGTGGGTCCTCGCCGGCGGAGGTGGTTGGGCGGGGGCAGGCGAAGCTGGTATGCCATCGAAGCCGAGGAGCTGCTTGGGTTCTTCCAGAAGGTGCTTCACCTTGTCGTACTCCCCCAATTTACTCTGAATATTTTGTTTCACCCTATCTCCTGGCGAAGGGCTCACCTAAAGAAAATAATAAAAAAAAAATCAATTAATTTCTATAAAAATTCGTATAAAAGGTTTTAAAGCATTCTTGACCATGCAGATTGAGGAAAATATGAGTCAACACTGTTAAGCCATTTACAATATTTTATAATAAAGTAATGGAATACTCAAGAGAAGATTAAGACTAGAATCATCAAGTGTTTTAAACTGTGGAGTGTTGAGGCTATCAGCTTCAACTGGACATAATAATGAATAATCACACCCACTGGGGTCCACCACATCCTCTGCAACATCCGCTCCAGCAAGTTTCCCACTATCAGCTGATAGCTTCGCGGCACCCACGCCGCATAATACTTTCCCCCGGCAATAGGTCACAACAAGTTGAATCAAAAGTAGAGGATAATCTATCAGTTCAAGCAAAGCAACATATCAACTTATTCCATTAACTCAAAATATAGCAATTCATTTCTCGATTTTTGACCAGAATGTTTGAGAACGACTATCTAAAATAAAAGTTAAGAAATAAAAAACAAATCTCTTTATTGTTTATGACTCGAAGAAATCCGCAGTGATATAGAAAATACAAGTTTAATTCGAGCTAAGTAGGTCTACCTGAATTCCATAATACTTAGCGATTTGTATAACCTAAAAAAAGGTTTTATGTAAGGTGCATTGAGTTGAAAATAAAAAATAAAATTTTTTTGAGTTCCGCTGAAAGTTAATCGCATTGAATAGTGGAATTCAATCACCATCCTAAGCATACTTAAGCATGAGGTTAATATAAATTAGCATTCCCCTTTCCAAGAGTATCATAGTAAATATCGAAAATTTTATAGTAATAGTATAGTAATTCGATATATTGAAAACTATCGATATTTCAATATATTGAGCCTCACTGCTTGTAATCCTTAAAGGAAAAGAAGGTAACCCTTAAATCTGTGATAACAATCAAATATCGCTTAAAAAAAAAGTATCGATTCATTAATAATATTCTATCTCGGGCATAAATGTTTTTTAATATTTGAGAAGAATGGGGCTGTAAATATCGAACAAAAATATCTACACGTACTACATTATCAATTTATTAACATTCATCAATTAAAAAAAATACATACATATATTACTAGGAACTAGAAAATTAAAAAGGGTGGAAGAAAATCATTATTTAATGAATTACTAAAAACTTATGAAAGGATTATCATTTATTATATAAATATGATTATGTATTAATATTAGCTGGAGAGAAGAAATCAAATAAAAATATAAAAGGAAAAAAATGACTATTAAATTAAAAATGGCTGAAAACTATCAAACTTCTTGATCACAAACAAAAAACAACTTATTTATTTTTATTTTTTTAGATATAGGTTTTCGATAGTCAAGTTTTTGATAGTAATTTTTAAATGAATATATCGATATTTCACGAACAAACAAGTGCACGAAAAACAAAAAAAGTACAGGATTTTTTTAATAAAATGTAAGGAAAAATAATTACTAATACTTAACAATTTTAGTTACTATATGTAAAGACTTGGTATAACCAATATACTTTTGCATTTAACTCGTGTTTCTATTATGTATGTATGTTTCTCCTATCTAAAATATAACAGTGATATCTCTATAGTAATAAGCTAATAAGTAATTGCAAGACTGTTGGGAGACTCTTGCGCAAGACCAAGACTCGGTCCCGCATTTGGTCAACACTAGCAGATGTATTTTGACTTGAGAATACTACCGTTTTTCAGTTGAGGGAACAATGACACATTTCAACAATGATTTCACCTTTAGATGTGTTGTTTTTAAGTAAATAAAAATAAAATATTTCAATGGATAGGGATGGTCAGGAATTCATATTTGTAGTTGGAACCAGGGGTAATTATTATTTTCTCAACTTTTGCACTGTATCGAATTAGTACTATCCTCAACATTGTCATATTTAATCCTCTTTAAACAGCTTATACAGAGGGAGGAGAGAGGCTATGTACAGTGGCCCCTCTTCACTTCACCCACGTATTAAAAACGACATCAAGTTATAAAACATATCTAGTCTAACAATGAACACTATCAATTTTGAAACTGTGGAAGGGTTCTATAATATAATGTGAGGGTATTACAGTTCTTTAGCAGAGAAAACTGGTAGTGAGGACAGGAGAGGGTCATGAAAAATGGTCCTTTTTATGAGGATGACCCGAATTATCAGCTCAATCAAGAGAATCATATCGATCTAATTCTATGATAAAATTCTGTCAAGTACGAATATTGAGTGATTAATTTGAGTGATATAGGTAAGGATGGAATGTTGAGAACTAGTAAATGAGAAGTGAGTGAGGAAGATGAGGAGGGAGCAAGGTAAAGATAATAAACTCAAGTTAGTTGAAAGGCGGTCGAGTATTCGAGTAGCCTGGCTGAGAGTGACGCCGGTCGATAGCCACCAACAAATCCAAGTCTTTCCAACACTTACCTTACGCAATTTAAAAACCTCTCATTCCCTCCAATCAATGAGCCAGGAGCTATGTCACCCGTTATTATCCACATAACTCATTTTTAATTAATTAAAACCCACTTACCTCAGCCGAGTCGACTACCTATATATAATAGATGTAATAGATGTACACAATAATTTTGTACGCTTGGCATTATTCTTTTTAAAAACAAAAAATATTTATACTTTACGTGAAGGGGAATTGAATGAAGAACTTTCATTAACGTAATTGATTTGTTAAAAATCAAATTATAGTAAGAATTAGAACGGATAACAATATAACTGTATTTTGAAAATCATGAATTATTTCAAAGCCTATGGTTCTGTGGATACGAGCTGTCTTTATATATATATATATATATATATATATATATATATATATATATATATATATATATAAAACCCTATTTTTTTATATCGATTGTAGGCAATATAAACCTTATAACTGCACCAGTCTACTTAATTATACATATCATACGTACGGAAGCCTGTTCTAATCTTTCGGGCGATCTCGGATGCGCTCATATTCCTTCGGCTCCTCAATTACAAATATTCTTCGTTACGATCTCATATTTCTACTTTAGTTAATTATTAAATTCTTTCATATTGTATATTTAACTATCTTTTATATTACAGATTAATGTGAATTGGTCAATTGTTTCAAATAAAAATAATTAAAGGTGCTTTAGGGGAAGCCACTTAAGTCCTATTAGAGAACATCAATCAAAATAAAAACTAAATTTTATTTTTGGCAAACCAATTTTTACAGGTGAGTTCGGTTAAGGCATCATCTCCATAAACACTGCAAGTTTTTCTATGAGATTCTGCAGCAAGCTTACCTTTTTTTCAAATAATACAACAAAATATGCTGATAATAAATATTTTTTTCCATATTCACAGTGCAATAGCAAACACAATACTAAGCTAGTTTCAACAAGAGTTGACAGATATAGGTGTTGACAAATTAAAAACAGGATAAACAATCAACCTTAGGGATTAATTTATCAAATATGAAGTGTATCATAGTGACAAAAATAAACAGAAAAACAGAAAGGATTTATTTGCCAACCCCACACAATATCAATGCAGAGCAGTGCTATTGCTATTTTTTTATCACTCTAACAGATACTCCAATTTTAGAAAAACTTCCTAATTTAATAAGCTTCAAGCCCATATTAATTAATTTGAGGTTTATTAGGGAAAATGTTTAGATTCACTTCAATTTTTGTGAAACAATTATGTGATTTGATATCCTGTAACCTAAAAGTAACCATATTTTCAGCAAAAAAAAATGACTATAAATTATTTAAAAGCGTTAATTTCTTTTTTTCAATGATCTGGGATGTATTATAATAAATATAAATGCAAAAGTACACTTTTTATTTATTAAAAAAAAGTTTAAAATAATGGTTTTTCGAATATTTATCATATAAAGTAAATTAATAGAGTTTATTAAAAAAATGACCGTTTTATCAAATTCAAGAGACTTTTAAATATATTAATATTAATTTAACACTTAATAATCGGTTTAGAACATTCTCTAAGTTTGTTTAATTCCATTCGAATCCTTAAAAAATAAAAAAATAAAAAACCTCAGTTTATTTATTTGTTTAAAAGAATAAACATGACAGTGTCCTACGAAATTCTCGTAATTTTAAGGCATAGAAAAAAAATTTCACAGCCGCTGAAGCATCTCTGAAAGCATTAAATATGATGGGGGAGGTGTCCTTGACCAGCGCACTGTGCGGCGTTGGTTTGAAAAATTCAGCAGTGGAGGTACGACGTTGGAAATGAAGAAGAGCTCCGGTGACCATTAATGGATATTGATGAAGTTCTGCAGAAAGCTGTTGAGTCAAATCCGCCCACAAGTACTCGCGACTTTGCCATGAAATTTAGTGTGTCGAAAGATACTGTTAGTCGCCATCTATTCTCCATGGGAAGGTGAAATAGCAGTAGACTGGTCCCTCAGAACTCCTCAGCAATCAACAAAGAGGTTAGAAATTTGTGAACATTTATTGAAAAACCCTTCTATTGATCGATATGAGATTTTACCGAAAGATTGTCACCTGTGATGAAAAGTGGGTTTACTGGCGAAATCCGAATACCCGTGAGGAATGGCTAGTTCGCGGTCGAATTGCTTTTCAGGTTGCTTGCAAGGGAGAAATTTGAAAAAAAAAAAATCCATGCTTTGCGTTTTTTTTGGAATTTTGAAGGTGTCATTCATCACGAATTTGTTCCTAATGGATGCCCTATGAATTCTGAACTCTCCTGCAAACAACTGGAAAGATTGTACGTAAGTTGTCAGAGCGTTATTCTGCTTTGATCAACCGAAAAGGAATTTTGTTCCAACAGGATAATGCTCGTCCTCACACTTCTCGTCGAACCAAAGAAAAGGTTAAAGAACTTCATGGGTACGAACTCCTGCCTCATCCACCATATATCCAAGACCTCGCACCATCGGATAACTACTTATTTAGATCCATGACCTATTTTTTTCAAGAGAAAAAAATTGATAATTTTGCGGAAGTTGAAATTG